AGTTTATTTTTTAATACGAAAACTAAATATTTCGGATTTCTAATATTTTTTTCATAGTAGTAGACAGTACAAAGTTTTTACTGATATAATTCGTTTATTTTTTAAACATAGTAAATAATACCTAATAAATTAAGTTTTTGATAGGTGCGGCGTATATACCGGAGTTACCCTATGCAAAAACATGCATCGTAAAGTAGGATGAGAACTTGCAGAGCCTGTTCTTCTTAGAAAAAAATAGCTTATATTTGTACCTTGCTCCAAGGCGTGTTAAAAATAAGAATATTCGGACACTATGTTGTTGTGTTACACCACTATGTTGTTGAGACATTGACATTCCAAATTATCAATATCCTATGACCTATAATATTTTTATAATGATAGATTTAACAAAAGAATATTATAAGAATAGCTAAACAATTGATCAAAATTATATTATCGATGAAGCAATTTTGATATCTCTTTTAATTATAAAACAATAGTAAACATTTTTTAAAATAAAAACGATGTAAGATTCCTGATGATGTAAGGTTCCTGGCTCTAACACATGCATGAGTATTTCCAATAATCATACACACATAATCATTGTCATATAATCATCTCCATATAAATGATACATCTTGTAGTTTTTACAAGATTATAACGGATTATAACAGATTACCTATTACATTATTGTATTCGACATTTTCAAGAGTGATTTTCAGTCACTTGTGGTCATATTACAATTGAACGTTGCATACTTGATACTCAACATTCAAGTTTACGTCAGATTAATACAATTTTATAATTAATCTTTTTTAAATTAGAAACTATTTAGTGTTTATAGATAGTTTTATATTTTAGTTTACATTATATATCAACTAAAGATTAAAGCGCTTGTAATAAATTTGATGTAATCGATTTTTTGCAGATATGTTCTACTTATTGTTTCTGACTTGCTTGACCATTACAACCGGCCACACCTTAAATACCGTTTATTCGTGGAAGCAGGTCGAATTCAAACTTCCAAATGATACCGTTCAAAATAAGTATAAAGCTTCTGGCGATTACATTCCAGAAAATAATCTACCATTAGGTTTGGCTGTTTGGCACAAAAAAGTGTTCGTTACAATACCACGGTGGAAAAATGGTGTTTTAGCTACTTTAAATAGCTTTTCAATGAACGACAACGAGCGTAAGTAAATATAGTTAAACAAAGTTTTCTAAAATGCGTATATACATATGTTTTACGTTACATGGATTTTATACGTATATAATATGCGTAAAAAATTTATAGAAATATTATAAATTTATAATGCGTCTACAAATTTATATTTAATACTTATTATAAAATTTGTATACAGCAGAAAGAAACGAGCAAAGGAGTGAAACAGTACGTCATAATGTAAACGCTGAAAAATTTCTCTCATAATCAGATGTTATATTAGACGTAATCTGTATGAGAGAACATTTTAAGGAAATTTTTAAAAATTCAAAATGTATACACGCGCGAGAGTGATATAATAAATTTCAAGTGCACACTTAGCAAAAAGATTTTTTTAAATACTTTTATCTTTTATATATAAAAAGATATAATATGCATTATCTTTAATTACTTATATAGATAGTCCAGTCTTAACACCATATCCCGATTTTGAAGCAAATAACATTAGTTCACCCGATGGCCTCGTAAACATATTCCGTATCAGAATCGATGCTTGTGATCGTATGTGGGGTCTTGACACAGGAGTAAACGATATTTTGGGAGACTCTAAAGTCGTGCGACCGATGACACTTGTTGTTATCGATTTGAAAATGAACATGGTATCGTTTATAAAAAATTATCGATTTACACAATCTATACTGATTCTAAAAAAACTACTTTTGTATATACATCTCGAATTTATTACAAGTTATCTCATTCATTCATACAGATTTTACGAAAATATACCTTGAAGGATACAGATATAAAGCCGGATAGTTTCATTGCTGATCTTGTGATCGATGTTGCACCTGGACAATGCGATAAGGCATACGCGTATATGAGTGATCTATCCGCGTATGGCATAGTGGTATATAGCTGGGAAAAGAACGATTCTTGGCGGATTAATCACCATTTCTTTCATTTTGATCCATTGAACGGTAATATAAAAA